CGACGTGTTTTGATTTTGAAACGTGCAGTGCTCATGTTTATTCAACAAAATCAAACGCCTCAAATAAATCAATGTATGGGAGACACTGGTAATGTATATCGAAATATCGAAAATATGTATAAAAATCATATCACCGTTATTGAAAAAAATTATATCGCGATACATATTAATATTGAATTATTGTCCAGCCCTACCACAGGGAGCTCGATTTGTGTTTATTAACTGTGTTGGCTGTGACAAGGAATGTTGAAGAGGGAGGCCAAATGGAAATAAAAACTAAAATCTAAATACGTATCTTGCAAAAAGGCACTTATGTAGTCAGTCTGATGCTCACAAATCCAGACTTTTACATTAGTAATAGTGCTGCTCAAAAATATTTATTATTATTATTATGTTGAAAATAGCTGAGTAGAATTTTTCAATTTAAAGGGGTCATATAGTGCGATTTCAATTGTTCCTTTCTCTTTGGAGTGTTACAAGCTCTTGGTGCATAAAGAAGATCTGTAAAGTTGCAAAGACTAAAGTCTCAAATCCAAAGAGATATTCTTTATAAAAGTTAAGAGTCAGCCACGCCTACCTAAAACGGCTCGTTCTAACACGCCCCCACATGTCTACGTCACACACATTTCATTACACCAAATACACAAAATAATGTTCTTTTTAGCAACGTCATATGACCCCTTTAAAGTATCAATTTCTATAACCCCCACCCAAAATAATAATAATAATAATAATAATATATATATATACATACTGACTCCAAGCTTTTGAATGGAATAGTGTATAATGTTGCAAAAGCTTTTTATTTCAGATAAATGTTGATCTTTGGATCTTTCTGTTCATCAAAGAATCCTGAAAAAAATTTACTCAACTGTTTTAAATATCGATGATAATAATAATAATAATCAGAAATGTTTCTTGAGCATCAAATCAGCATATTAGAATGATTTCTGAAGATCATGTGACACTGAAGACTGGAGTAATGATGCTGAAAATTCAGCTTTGAAACACAATAAAACATTTTAAAATATCACTGTTTTTACTGTATTTTTGATCAAATTTCCCAATAAACCTGGAAATAAATTTAGTTTAAACCTTCAAACGCTTCAAAGGGGGTGAGAAAATACATTTCCCATCTTAAATATTTTTGTTTTTCATACATCTCATACTTGTGAGCTATATTGTATATGGCCACATGGGAGTGACCTTCTGCCTTTAAGCTGAAGATAACCTTTTTACATCATGGAAAGAATTTGTCACATCTGCCATTCACAAACTAAACAACATGCCAGCTTTAAAGTGGGAGGTAAACATTTAGCATTTTTATTCAAATCAATTTAAGTCACAGGAAAAAAACATTTTGCGTGCAGCACTGTTCCAGCATATAGTTGATCCATAGAAAAACTGATTACAGATAGAAATCCTATCTAATAGTTGTAAAATGAAAGATAAAACTCCTGACAAATGATTTGTATTGAACACCCTTTAATCTACACTACGAAATGCAATGACATTCTTACTAATCAAAAACATTATTTTAAGATGTGTGTTAAGGTCTGGGATTATGATATATATGGTATATATTTGACATTCCTTTTATTCTATTCTTTTTTTTTTGCCTTTAATCTATTAGGACAGACATGCAGGAATAGACAGCAAGAAAGTGAAGTGGTGGAGAGAGAGGGATGTAATCGGTCCTCGAGTCGGGACTTAAATGAGTTTATATGTATTTAGAATATCAAGTAAACACATTTAAAAAAAAGAATGGTTGAACAATTGTCAGCAACTTTATATACTTTGTAACAAGTTGTACTATGCTTGCTAACTATCCTAGAGAGGTACTTTGACAGATCACGACTATAATATTACAGCATACAGTGCTGTATATAAATGAAGTAAGTGAATTCTTCAATATGCAAAAACAGACAAGATTTTGTACTGAGCAATTGTTGTAAATGTGTATATCATTTGTAAACTACGAGTGTACTACGAGTGTTTGGGTCAGAAAACGGAAGCACTTTATCCAGCATCTAACTTTGATTTCTTTCTCGTCTGAGAAGAGCAGAGAACTTCCACATTTCGATGCACTGCGAGAGCAGAATGTCTTCAGGGAAGAACTCGTCCACCTCAGGAGGAACGTCCGGGTCTTTACGCTTCATGTAGGACACAACAGTTTCTTTCAGACTGGAGGACAGACAGAAATCAATCAGTTATGATACATTTCCATATGTTCAACATATGCTCTGAGGCTGTTGGAGCCATTTCTTTTGTCTATTTTCATATTTTGGACTGATTTAATCATTTTGTTTGATTAGTATTTGTGTTTATTTGAGTATTTGCTTTGAAGGTTATGAATTTGTAAATGGAGACTCTTATTATATCATTGCAATCACGCATTTAGGGCAGGTAAGGAAGTAGGTGGGGCAGTAAGGGGAAGTGGAGAAAGTGTGTTTGTGTGCTAATGTTTATCGATGAAGCTACGGTGCAACTGTTGATTTTATGGATTGTGATTTTGCAAAAATAAAGGATGAAAAGCTATGCAACGGACTCGCGCGTCAATTGTTCGCCCCTACTTGGATAGTGGCTTATCACAAACGTGCTGCTACAGACGCAGTACAAAGGCAGGCTGGTAGGCTACATGTAAATACAGTAGGGCTCAGAGGAGGATCGGTTCCACATAACCAGTCAGAAATCATGTTAAGTAACATTTCATGAGCCTTGAGTACACAAAAATGGCTTCATTCCAAACCAGGCTTTGCTGAAAAGACAATAACCTGCAGTTCACTGAGTGAGTAAGATGCTGATTCAGGAACCACTGATGAATTCATGGAATTTATTTAGTGACGGATTTGTCAGAGTCATTCAAACCAGTAACTTTTGCGAGCTACCCTTAACGAGCTTTTTTAGAACACTTGACAGATGTGGGCAGATCCGAAATAGAAATACCTCACTTGTTCTGAATGAATCACATTAATGACCAATGTTGCATGCAAAACAGCAATGTTGCTTACCCCGAGTCAGGCCTGAAAGTGTGCGTGTCTTTTGGGTTCTTCAGAACTAAAAGCAGAATTTCATGAATCTCCAACAGGACGGCACCAGCGCTGGGCTTAGTCAAAAAACTAGTGAGCCTTGTCTTGTGCTCCTCCTGCAGAGGATGTTTGTACTCTTCACTGATGTCCTTAAATGGGTCCTGAAGAGCAGATGAACACAGTCACATACAAACTCACTAAAGCACAAAGCAGAATACTGTGTTCACTGTGTTGAGTGTCTCACCCCCTTCAGACGCAGCAGGGTCTCTGATTTCAGAGAGCTGAGACGCTGCCACAGCGCCACACAGTGTTTCAGGCTGCACCTGCTTAATGCCTGCACACACAATTAGCACTCATTCACTAAACATCTCAATTCTGCTTCATCTGTATTGTATAAAGCGCTATATGAAAAGACTTGAGTTAATACCAGTGAGGATGGCATGCTCTGCACAGACAAATAATGAAGAAAGTGTGTGTCCATGACCAACCTTGAAGACATGTGGGGCCATGTTGTCAGTCATCTGTAGCACCTCCTCTAAATAAGTGCCCAGCTGCACCCGTGGCTCTCCCCCGGTCATGGCGAGGAAACCCAGGGCCAGCTCGACTGTAGACAGTGCCTCACACACATCACTGTAGGACTGCAGCTCCTTCACGAGGTTGTGCTGTGTAAGAGCCTGCAGCGGCTCCTTTGAAAGCAAAAATCACAATATGGCTTGTGAAATTATACAAATATATCTATGCATTGTAAACACTGATTTAATTAAATATACATTTTTTATGTTGCATATAAACATAACGGTAACACTTTACAATAAGGTATCATTAGTTAATGTATTAACTAGCATGAACGAACAATGAACAATACATTATTCATTAGACAGTATTCATTCATCTTTCTTAATGTTAGTTAAGGAGAATAAAGTTGTTCACTGTTAATTCAGAGTGCATTAACTAATGTTAACAAGCACAACTGTTGGTTTTAATAATGCATTAGTAAATGTTGAAATTAGCATTAAGATTAATAAATGCTGAAGAACTATTGTTCATTCTTAGTTCATGTTAACTAAAGTAGTTAACTAATGAACCTTATTGTAAAGTGTTACCAACATAATGTAAAGAAATGCTCGTTAAAGCATTTTCACACTAAAGCCTTTTTTGTGGACCGGTGTCTACAAAATTGTAACCAATACACTAACTTAATGATTAAACATGAATTATGCTAACACAAATAATGCAACTTACTTGTGGCACTTTGCCCTTCACATCCATTAATATGATCTCATAAATTCTGTCCTGTCTGTTCACCACTGTCGGAATACCCTACACAAATAAATATAAACAATTAAGGGTTGTTGACGTGACATGGCATTTTCACTGATAAAAATGCATATAAATTAATATTGTCGTTATTTAAAATGCAGTAAATGGTTAAACATGTCTTTGTCCTACATGGACCTGTTGTTATAAAAGCTGCAGTGTTATTTGATTTTTGGAGCCAAATCTCAAAATTGTCCTATAGTGTGACTGTTTCAAGCATGGTTCAATAAATTACAACTTTTATAATTGTACAAGTGTCTATTTTAGTAAATGACAATCTGTTTTTTTCATCCATATATTTCTGAACGCATAGGAAATTGATACATTTTGTCTCTGAAAACCATGTCCTCTGGTGTGACACCATATCCCGATTTTAAATCGGCCAATTCCAGAGAAAACTTTAATTAGTTGAAGGACCTCATTCATGATCATGTTACTGAAGCCCCCTGTGAAGCCCATG